TATCGATTGGTCCAGGCAGGCCACCCTATGGATGGGGTGCCTGTATAAGGTGCGATCACTGTCCAGTGACCAGGGGAAGGACCATAGTCGCATAGTACCAGATTTGGTGGCTCTCCTCAGCTAGGCTATGGGATAACATAAATTGTTGAGAGATTCCCTACAGAACTTACTTCATCTAGAAGAGCATTTCTGGGGCTACTGGAGCCGGGAGTAAAGGGTGTGTTGGAAGGGAGGTGTGTAATAACCATGGATTTTAGTTTCTGTATTTTATGATGCTTTGGCATCTTGGGGCCTTTGGGACCTGAGGGGGGAGTTGCCCCTCCAGAGTTAGCTAATTCCTAGAGATAGCAAACAACTTGCTTGTGAACACCCCTTTCATGTACAAACCAACCAATCCAAACCTATATCCCCACACTGCCTTTATCCATCTCACACACCAATATTTTCCCTGCCCCAAGTCACTGTAATAAATCACCTCATGGCCAAGTACCAGACAACTAGAAATCAGCCCTATATCCCAGAGCTTGCCAACGTTATTCAGACTATTCAATCCTAAACTTGCTAGACTTCCCTGCCTCGCCCATTTTTTCCCACGGCAATCAAAGCTCTAGGCTTTCTCCTCACTCCCTCTGCCTCCTCGCTGACCCAAATACTTTCTCGTGTGGCCCTGTGCAGCAAAACACAGCCCCTTCTCTTGAGAACTGTAATAAAACTTTCAAAAGCATTGGCCACTAATTGATTGATTGTCATCACTCAGTCACCTCTATACATTAAATTCTAAGGACAATGAAAACAAGGTGCAGTGGGGTGGGACTGGAAAGCCTTGGTACCATTCTAAGGAGTTAAGACCATTTCATAGGAAATGGGAGGTTTCGGGGGAAGTAACATAAATTTGAGCTTCAGGAAGGTAATTCCAGCAGTGGATAAAGAAGAGAGAGATTAGATGCCGGGAACCAGCTTGGAAGCTGTTCAGGGGACAGTATTCGGCAACCATTTGGATACAGGAAGTGAAGTATAGAGAGTAGTCAAAGATTCAAGTTCTGAAGCTGGTTGACCAGGTGGATGGACATGCCATGAATAGATACACAGTAATAGGGGCACTTTGAGGGAAAGGATGAGTTCAGTTTGGGACCCATGGTATCCAGGAGCTACTAGACAGGAAATTCTGAAGCCCAGGTCTGCAGCCTAGAAGCTTTAGAGAGGAGACACATTGAGAGGCAGTTATATGAAGGGTTTTTCCTTTTTCATATTTTAAATGTTTAGTTTGTGATACAACTCCATGTAAAAACACAATCTGCAGTGATAATTTAGAATTTCTCTGATGACAAGGTACTGGATGTAGTTTGGGATAGAAATATAATTTGTCTGATTGAAGGCAATGTTATTTACTGCCAAGGACAGTAAGCTATTTTTTATGCTGATACAATTAAGATGGATGGATAATGATTTATTGATGCCAAAGAAAGGCATTATTTTTGTACAAAGACCAGAATACTGGCTCCAAACTCAAATACCACTGTTATTTTACTACTAAAGTAACAGGCCAATGTTGAACATAAAATCAGATTTCCTTGTTTGTCTTATTTAATGTCTTGGCTCATCATGAAACTATTATTCATTGTGTATCTATTGTTGCTGTATTCAATCTGTCCTCTCCTTGACTAATAAACAAGTGAATAAACCAGAAAACGGTGAAATTAGCGAATGTTTGAGCTTAGATGCTGAACTGCATCAATTCATTTGACAAAAGTGGCAAGCGGTTTTCAAGCATAGATGTGTTAATAGCTTAAATCCTAAGAGCCAAGAGTATTTCTCTTCTCTGAGAAAGCTGTGTTCCTTAGCACACAGACAACCAATCAATGTACCAGTATTATACTGAACAGAATTGCAGTATACTGATAACATTCAGAGTATATTTGGTATATTTACAATATATGGACTTTCAGTATTCTGAAAAGTATCTGCTGGATCCTTGAAAATAGAGTAACTTTTTCATTGTAATCCTTTCAAGATTTCAGAATCATATGACTGCAGTGTTTTAGAACTTAGAATAAGTGTTTTAGTGAACAGGGCAGGGGCCGCTTTAGCTTTTAAGAGTTGCCCTCGAAAGTCACAGCCTCCAAAGAACACACAGGCTTTAGATGAGCAAAACTTGAAGCAGCTTTAAATCTGTTCTTTTGAAAACCACTGCTTTCTAAATTTCTTTCATTGAGTGGGAAGGTTGTGGTGCAAGTGACAGAAATGCAAATCTGGGGGTGGGAAGAAAAAGAAAGAAAAAAGAAATATGAAAAACTGTACGCATGGTTCATTGAAAGGAAAAGAAAGAAAAAAAATAAATGTATTGGGCACCATCCTTCCAGTTGCCTGCTCAGGCCAAAATTTGGGGGTTTTCCTTCATCTCCTCCGCCAACCCTTACTCTTTGTAATGGCTCATCAGCTAACAGGCCCATCAGCAAATGTTGATTTAACATGCATAGTTCTAGAATCTGACCATTTCGCTTTCTGGGTTAAGTAACCATCATCTCTTGCTTGGATTTTTTCATTAGCTCTCTAGTCCCCTTGCTTTTGCCCATGACCTCCCTGTTGTTCATCAAGTACCCCAGACACACATGGTCCTCAGTGCTTTGCATTGTCTGTTCCACTACCTGAACTGTGTTTCTCTTGGATTTCCACATGGCTTGTCTCTTTCAGGTCTTTACTCAAAAGTCACTGTCTTGATGAGGTCTTCCCTGCCCACCCTATCTAAAATTTTAACTATTTAACAACAATTTTAACAACTCACATACTTGATATCCCCTGCTATGGTTTGACTGCATCCACCAAAATTCATGTGTTGGAAACTAAATCCCCAATACAACAATGTTGGGATGTGAGTCTAATGGGAGGTGTTTAGGTCATGAGGGTTCTACCATCATGAATGGAAGAATGCCATTATAAAGAGGGCTTTGGGGAGTGGGTGCTCTCTCTACGCATGCCATGTGAGGACACAGAATCTGTCCCCCGTTGGCCCTTTCGACTTCCACCATGTGAGGACAGCAAGAAGGTCCTCATCAGACGCTGGTGCCTTGATCTTGGACTTCCCAGCCTCCAGAATTATGAAAGAATAAATTTCTGTTCTTTAGAAATTACCCAGTCTCAGCTATTCTGTTATAGCTGGTAACAGAATAAATAATAAATGGACTAAGACACTCCCCTTTCTCTTCAGCATTGATCAGTCTCCAACTATATATTTTACTTATTTATCTTGTTTATTTTATTTTATTGCTTTTCTTTTGAGAAGGAGTTTTGCTCTTATTGCCCAGGCTGGAGTACAATGGCACAATCTTGGCTCACGGCAACCTCCCAGGTTCAAGCGATTCTCCTGCCTCAGCCTCCCAAGTAGCTGGGATTACAGGTGTGTACCACATGCCAGGCTAATTTATATAAATTTAGTAGAGATGGGATTTCACCATGTTGGCCAGAATGGTCTCAAACTCTTGACTTCAAGTGATCCACCCACCTTGGCCTCCCAAAGCACTGGCATTACAGGTACCAGCCACCTTGCCCGGCCATTTATCTTGTTTGTTGTCTGTCACTCCTACTAGAACATTAGCACCATGAAGGTGGGGATATTTTTTAGTCTCTTTTTCACTGCTATATCCCCTCTGCCTAGTGTGTATTAGGAACTTAGTAAATATTTATTGAGTGATTTAGTGTCTCTTTATTGATAGTAGGGATATTAAATTTCCTTTAAAACATCAAGTAAAAGTTTTAAGTAAGTAATAGTACAGATGATATGCAGATATTACAGTGGTTACAAAATATAGCAGTAAAACACTGAAAAGACTAGGTTAAAGTGGTTAAAAAATAGTTTGCCTGGCTGGGTGCAGTGGCTCACGCCTGTAATCCCAGCACTTTGGGAGGCTAAGGCGGGCAGATCACGAGGTCAGGAGTTCAAGGCCAGCCTGGTTAGCATGGTGAAACCCTATCTCTACTAAAAGTACAAAAAACTAGCTGGACATGGTGGTGCATGCCTGTAGCTCCAGCTACTTGGGAGGCTGAGGCAGTAGAATTGCTTGAACCCAGCAGGTGGAGGTTGCAGTGAGCCAAGATCATGCCCCTGTACTTCAGCCTGGGGGACAGAGCAAGACTCCATCTCAAAAAAAAATTGCCATGGTACATGCTAGTCACAGATAATTCTGTAGATCCATGAGCTTAAGTAATTAATGTTATGATGAAAGTTCCTTGATGGGACTCCAGTAATGTAGATTTTGTTGAGTTTTGGTAGAACCACACTGAATTTTACCTTTAGATCAACTGTAAAAAAGGAATGCTTAAGCAAATAAAATTTTAAATGGCTTAGTTCCCTACCTATGAAACATTTCCAGCAGCCGTTTCTGCTCAATTGCTGTGTTGCTTCAGGAAGCCAGCAGGCCTGGGTAGGGCCCAATTTTTACCTCTTTAATTGGCTTTGTGACCTTGGGTGAGTTACCTCTCAGAAGCTTCTGCATCTGTAAAATGTACATAATGATAGTAGCTCACAGAGCTGTGGTATGGGTGGGACAGACGAGCTAATACACAGTTGGCCCTTGAACAATGATAGTAGGGCACTGACCCCTACACAGTCAAAAAGCTACGTATAACATTTTAAATTAAAATTTTTTTATTTTAAACATTTTTATAAAGGTGGGATCTTGCTATGTTGCCCAGGCTGGTCTTGAACTCCTGACCTCAAGCAATCCTCCTACCTTGGCCTCCCAAAGTGCTGGGATTATAGGGGTGAGCCACCGCACCTGGCTTACATATAATTTTGACTTCCCAAACTTAGCTACTACTGACCTGCTGTTGATCAGAAGCCTTACTGATAACAGTTGATTAGCAGATATTTTGTCTGTTATATGTAATATATACAGAAGCCTTATCGAACAGTTAATTGTTAATATGTATTATATACAGAAGCCTGGTACATGTATTACATACAGAAGCTGTATCGAACAGTTGTTAATCAGCTGTTAACCATTAATAACAGTTGATTAGCAGATATTTTGCATGTTATAGGAATTATATACTGTATTCTTACAATAAAGTAAGCCAAATAAAAGAAAATGTTAAGAAAACCATAAGGAAGAGAAAATACATTTACTATTCATTGAGTGGAAGTGAGTCATGGTAAAGGTCTTCATCCTCATCGTCTTCATGTTGTGCAGGCTGAGGAGGAGGAGGAAGAGGAGGGGGTGGTCTTGCTGTCTCAGGGGTAGCCAAGGTGGAAGAAGTGGAGGACCTGCAAGAGGAGGCAGGAGAGTCAGACACACATGGTCTAACTTTTATTGAAAAAAAGTTCCCCTCCCTGTGTCCATGTGTTCTCATTGTTCAACACCCGCCTGTGAGTGAGAACATGCGGTGTTTGATCTTCTGCTCTTCTGTCAGTTTGCTGAGAATGATGGGAACACTACACACTGGGGTCAGTTGGGGGGAAATAGAGGAGGGATGGGGGGGTGGGGAGCTGGGGAGAGATGGCAAGGGGAGAGATGCCAGATGTAGGTGATGGGGAGGAAGGCAGCAAATCACACTGCCATGTGTGTACCTATGCAACAATCTTGCATGTTCTTCACATGTACCCCAAAAGCTAAAATGCAATAAAATAAATAAATGGGAAAAAAAAGAAAATAATATAAATGTAAAATAAAAGAAGTAAAAATGCAAAAAAAAAGAAAAAAAGTTCACGTATAAGTGGGGACTCATGCAGTTCAAACCAACCCGTATTATTCAAGGGTCAACTGTACACAAAGGACTGAGCTCAGGGCCTAGCCCAATAAGAACTCAATAAATGTCCTTCTTATCATCATTATTCATATGTCTGTTTAGTGCTGCATCCTCAGCGCCTCAGAGAACACCTGGCACATAGCAAGCACTCCATGAACATTTGTTAAATAGCTGTCATTACTGATGATCATCCTTGGTCTAGGCTTGGCTACACTTGTCTCCTCTTCAGGTCTAGTTACCAAATATACTTGAAGGTGATCAAGTATTGTTTTCCAAGTTTTCTTCTGCAAAAAATTAGGCAGAATGTATCTCCTATGAGATCAAATTATTGCAGGTTTTTTGTGTGTTTTGAAATTACAGTACTATGTTTGAAATCTTACTATGTAAGATTAATAGATCTAAATCATGGGAGTTCATTTTTACATAATTTAAATGTTCTTTTGGTTGAGCTATTTCTTGAGCACTGCTCCAAAACGCCTTCCATGAGATCAAAATAAATTGATGGGCACGATGCGACCTTGTGTGTGGGTGGTACCAGTTTTAGATTCTTCCCACAGTCTTCAGCAGCACTAACGGAAATTGTTAACCCATCTTATATATTGGGAGATATTGCATGTGTGTGTGCGTGCGTGTGTGTGTCCCTCTTAACTTTCAAAGAAGTAGCGATTGCATCATTATAAGAGCGGTACCTGTTAATTCAGCTTCATCAGGCAGGGCTGGTTTCTCCGAGGCCTCTCTCCTTGCATGCAGTTGGCTGTTGTCTTACCACGTGCTCACATGGCTGTTCCTCTGCGCACGTGCATCCTTGGGTTCTTTCTCTTCTTATAAGACACCAGTCACATTGGATTGGAGCTCCACCCTTATGGTCTCATTTAACCTTCATTACTCTTTTAAAGGATTCTGCCTCCAAATTTAGTCATGATAAAGGGGACTGTAAGTGTTGAGGGGACACAAAACACAGCCCATAACAATCCGGTCTGTATCTTCATGTTCTGAAACTTTTTTAAAGTTTGTTTTTGAATTTTTAATTGGCAAATAATAATGATATATATGCATATATATGTGTGTGTGTGTGTGTGTGTGTGTGTGTGTGTGTGTGTGTGTGTGTATATATATATATATATATATGGTAGAATGTGATAACCTGATACATGTGATATTTCCTCATTGTTGTCCTGAGATACAGTTTCCCAAGAGCAAAGGTTGGCTAGAGATATCTGACTGAACACAAGCACACACACTACCTCCCTACTTCCTGCCTCAAATCTCCTTACACAATATATTCTGTCTCTCTGTATTTCATATATACACATGAAACCCACAAAAACACATGAACACAATAAAGAGGGCCACCAGAAGACCAGAAGTATACAGGAATTCCTGGAGGATAAAAAGCAGACAGGATCTGATTGACAGCAAACCTGGAGCAAAGACGAACACAGTTAACCAAAGGTAGGCAAAGGACTACCAAGGAAGTGAAAGTAGTTTAGGGATCTTCCCAGCTCAGTCAGCAGACACCTGGAGCAGGAGCAGGTGCTGGCACAAGAAATGGAAGAGCTGTATTCACAAGAGCCAGGTCAGGACTTGCTTCCACAGTACAAACTAAAATGGGAAGGATACTGCGATGATTAGCATGGCCCCTGTACTAGAATGACATGAATTTGTGAGGCATTTTGCGTTGTTCATAGTACTGCCCCACAAATCCCATGCAAATCACAAAGATCACAAAGATGAAAATGTACATTTTTACAAGGGAGAGATCTGGGGTCATCACTGTGTATGATGAAACCTAAACCATTAATAACGGAGTGACCTGACATGAGGTACCTATAGCTATCATGCAGTATGTACATTGAATCCCCTATTAAGTATTTGTGCCTAAATATTTAACCTGAATCCAGTTAAGCAAAAAAATCCAATTTTACATGGAATATGAAGGTAAGGGAGAGAGATTTGAGAAGAAGTTCAATGTCACCAAGAGGAAACAAGCAGACAAAATCAGAATGTGGAACATTTTACAAGGGCAATGCTAGTAAAATATTGTTTTGTGTATTATATACTGTATTCCTACATACTGTAAGACCCTTGTTAATGACCTCGGAAAGACTTAGGATGGTGCTTTGCACCCTCTTAGTTACACAAAGAGCTAAGAATCTAAAGGGCATGCCTCCTAGGGCCTCTCAGCTAGACAGCAATGCTTTAGGATTCTGAGGGTGTAGTGGTACAGCAGCTTCACAGGGAACCCAAGAAGGGCAGATCTCAAAGAGCCCGGCCTGATGTCACAATGAGATGAGACTCTGGTGGAGTCTTTGAAGGGCGTGCATGTTTTGCCTGTGAGAGAAAGGCAAATTATTTGTAGGCAGAGGGAAGACCATGGCAGCTTTAAAAACAGACTGGATTTGGTGGCTCGTGACTAATAATCTTAGCACGTTGTGAGGCTGAGGTGGGAGGATCGCTTGAGCCCAGGAGTTCGAGACCAGTCTGGGCAACATGGTGAGACCCTGTCTCTACCAAAAATTCAAAAATTATCCAGGCCTGGTGGCGTATGCCTGTAGTCCCAACTACTTGGGAGGCTGAAGTGAGAGGATCACCTGACCCCTGAAGGTTGAGGCTACAGTGAGCTATGATTATGCCACTGCATTCCAGCCTGAGTAACAGAAAAACAAACAAACAAAAACAAGAATGAAAACATAGCTGCAAATTCTCTGAATCTAGGTGGGCTTTGTCACAGAGCATAATGGGAGCTACAACAGAGCCTGATGGAAGTGACACTGTGTGACTCCTAATGCTGGGTCATAAAAGGTAATGCAGCTTCTGTCCTGTTCCCCAAAACACTCCTCCTCAGAGCCAGAGGTCAGGATGTAAGGAAACTGACCACTCTGAGGCCATGCTAGCCAGAGAGGCTACATGGACATGCTCTGGTGGGCAGTTCCAGCTGATCACAGCCTTCCCACCACCCCAACCAAGGTCTTGGATGTGAGTGTGCAGAAGCCATCTTGGAGTCTCCAGACCAGTCCCTATGACAAGTGAATACCACCAAGTGATCTTGTCAATGTTATGTGAAACGGAAGAATTGCTTGACTAGGCCCTGCCTGAATTCACGATCCACAAAATTGTAAAGTATAATAAAATAATTGTTTTAAGCCATAAAGTTTTGGATTTTTTTTTTCTTAAATGTTTATATAGGTGTCTAGAACAGAATTTAGCTCTCCAAAAAGTCAATATCATGGATGGGATCGGGGGAAGATGAGGGATCTGTTTGAAGCACTCTAACAATCAAATGCAATGATTTGTCCTTTATTGACTTCTGGTTCAAAAAAGTAGATTATGGGTACTTTGGGGACAACTGTGGAGACTTGCACACAGACCATTACATAATATGTTTCGGAAATTATTGTTAATTGTGTATTAGTCTGTTTTCATGCTGCTATAAAGAACTTCCCTGAGACTGGGCAATTTATAAAGGACAGAGGTTTAATTGACTCACAGTTTTGCATGGCTGGGAAGGCCTCAGGAAACTTACAATCATGGTGGAAGGGGAAACAGCCACCTTCTTCCCAGGGTGGCAGGACGGAGAAGAGAAAAGGAAAAAACTGCCACTTTTAAAACCATCAGATCTTGTGAGAACTCACTCACTATCACAAGAACAACATGGTGGAAACTGTCCCCAGGATCCAATCACCTCCCTCCCTCAACACCTGGGGATTACAATTCAAGATGAGATTTGGCGGGGAGGGACATAGAACCAAACCATATCAATTGTGTCAGATTTGATCATGGTTTTATGATTATGTAGAAAAACATCTATTTGTAGGACCTACTGGTGTATAGGTCAAGTGTCATTATGATCGCAGCTTACTCTACAATGGATCAGAAAAACAATTATACACACACACACACACACACACACAGCAAATATAGCAAAAAGCTAACAACTGTTTGAATCTAGGTACTAAGCATATGCATGTTCATTATGCCAGCCTTTCAACTTTTATGTGTGTGAAGATTTTCATAATAAAAAACTGAGATAAATATAAAAAAATAAAAAACAATAAAAAGATCAGACAAAATTAACTCATAAAAACGTTTCCAACTTCAGTAGTCAGGAAGACAATGTAAATTAAAACCCAAATGCAGTACCACCCACCAGAATGGCTAAAATGAAAAGGACAGAAAAGCGTTGGCAAGTCTGTGAATCAAGTGGAACCCCCTCACAGAAGTGTATATTGGTTCAACCACTGTGGAGAACTGTTGGCTCTGGCTACTAAAGCCAACATATGTAACCATATTGTGTCATTATTATAGAGGTTCTAGTTAATCTAAGTTTTCTTTTTCTGTGTTTTCAATTCCACAAAATTACCCTTTCCTATCATTCCTATATTTTCAGATTTTTCTGGTAATTTGATAAGTTATTCCCTGGTCTGATAGCTGGTTTCTGTCAGGTCAAAGTGAGTGTGGTAGTGAGCAGATTCATTAATTTGAGGGGAAAATGGAGGAAACAGCTTTCATTTACTCATCAAGATGTTTAGGTGCCTATTAGATGCACTGGGGCGGGAGACCTGGACATAAACATGACTATGATGTGTTCTGGATTGTCTGGGAGGTCAGTCAGCACCCAGGGGAGGACGTGGTAACATGAGGCGATAAATTGGCAGGTGTGCTGACTCATCCCAGCACTTTGGGAGGCTGAGGCATGGGGACCACCTGAGCTCAGGAGTTTAAGACCAAACTAGGCAACATAGCAAGACCCCATCTGTAAAAATAACTTTAAAAAATTATCCAAGTGTGGTGGTGCATGCCTATCGTAGCAGCCACTCAGGAGGTTGAGGTGGGAGGACTACTTGAACCCAGGAGGTTGAGGCTGCAATGAGCCGTGAACGTGCCACACCACTGCACTTCAGCCTGGGTAACAGAGCAAGACTTAAAAAAAAAATAGCAACGATAGAGCCATGTCCAAAATGTATGGGGGTTCAGAAGGCATGGTGAATTCTGAATTGGATATAAGAGGAGTTTACAATGTTTTAGAGGAAGGGCCATCAGAATGGGGCCTTGGAGCATGAGTAGGACTTTCCAAGCCCAAGGATCAACGTCAAGCAAAGATGTGAGACTGTGCAAGTTCAGGACAAAGCATCTCTCCTTTCAAACCAGTCCCTCTTTTTGCTTTGCATTTCCTGGTTAATGGCTTCACCATCTACCGAAAGACCTGTATCTTTATGAGACTGATGTGCTGCCTACTATGCTAAAGTGGCAACTAACCTGTGTCTTTATATGACAAGTAACATAAGCCAGTTTGAACTGGCCTAAACAATAAGGGTGTTTCTTGGCTTTATAACAGGAGAGTCGAGGACTTCATGGTTGGTTGGTAACAATAGCCCGAGGATACCACTAGGGATCTATCCTTGCTTTGGTCTGCATACGGTCAGTTCCAGTCTATGGCTCATTTTCCTGGGGCCTGGGATCACAAGATGGTTGCCAGTTAAATCAGGCTATCCACCTCCTTATTCCTATCAAGTGGGAAAGGGCACTTCGGTCGCAGTATTCCAATCAAGAGTTCTGGCATTCACTGATTGGTAGGTTTAGATCACATTGCCACTCCTGAATCAAAAACTACAGAGAGCCATGGAATGTGTTAATTAGTGTCAGTCAGTCTAGGCCCACCTCTAAAGCTAAGACAGAGTCCAATTTCTCCAAAGCACATGGGTTCCACAACAGGAGAGCTTGGGAGATTGTCTTAAGTGGCAATCTGGAAGCCCTTAGGAAGAAGAAAGATGGGTAGAAAACAAATAAATGTTCATTGCAGTTACTACCTGCAATTCAGGAGCCTGGGAAGAATTTGCGTTTCTTACTCTCTTATCTCCCCACATCCAACCAGTCAACAAATTCTGTTGATTCTGCCTTCTTGTTATTATATTACCTTCCCAGCTGTCTTTATTCAAGCCTTCATAATTTCTCACCCATATACTTAAAATGCTTCATAACTGGTGTTCCTGCCTCTACTGTCTCCTCGCTCTGGAGTTCTTTTGGATAACTCTCACA